TTACTTATACATTTTAAGTTGACTGGTAGTAGAGCGCGGGACACGTATTAATACATTTTTTATAGACTAGCGGTAGAATTCAGGTAACATATAAATACATAAACTAAAGTTATCATAATTTTACTGAATGTTGCCATTTGCGCAAAAAATTAGCAAAAATGGCCCGCGCCACTTGTTAGCGCGCGATAAAAACTACCTGCAAACAATGTGTTAATGGGGGGGAATGAGGACACATTTGTAATACCTTAACTAATAAAGAATTTTTTTTAAAAAAAGACACCAAAATAAAAAATAAGCTTAAGAACAGTGAACTGAGCAGCTTCCCTTATCTGAATGGGAAGTGTTCAGGTAGAAAAAGGAGTTAGCAAATGAGAAACATAGGTGGTAGTAAAAGTGTGGAGAACATTCAATAAAAATCAAAGGAATCTGAAGTTTATGCAGTATATAATAAGGAGCCACCAGAGGTTCATAAGCATTGAACAATATGGGGAAAGGATTTGAAAAAGATGAATGTACAGGGTAAACTAGAAATGAAAAAACCACTTAGAAAATTCCAGATATGAAATAAGATTCTCCAACCAAGATAATAACAATGGCAACAAATGAAAGAGACATTATAAAGGAAAAACAGATAAAAGCTAGGTAACTAAAACAAACAGCAACAAAAGATAAATGTGGAAAAGAAAGCCAAAGAGCTGCAAAAAAGCCATCTTTCTCATTGTGTTGAGTGTCAGACCCATACTATCCTAACACCAATCTCCCCTTGTATCATTAAAAATAACTAGAGGCATGATGCACAAAATTCGTGCATGGGGCGGGAGGTTCCCTCAGCTCAGCCTGCACCCTCTCCAATCAGGGACCTCTCGGGGGATGTCCGACTGCCGGTTTAAGCCCTAAATCGGCAGTCGGACATCCCTCTCACAATCTGGGACCGCTGGCTCCTAACTGCTCACCTGTCTGATCACCCCTGCCAGCCTGGTCGTGTGCGCCTCTCCCCTCCCCCCCCTGCCCACCGACCTGGTGACCTCCAACTGCCTCCCCCGGCCCCTGTTGGCTTGGTTGCCCCACGCAGCCTGCTGTTTGGTGATTACTGTTACTGTGACAGCATCCTGGACAACTTGCACATTCCTCTATTATTAGTATAGATTCCAGGCCTTAAAGTTGACATTTTCCCCCAGTAGTGTGTCAATATCACACATCAATTATGTTGTTTGCACCAGAGAAAATAAGTTGAGACTGTGTTTATGAACATACTCAAATTAAAAGACAAATAACATCCCCCCAATTAAAAAAAGGATGAGTGGTCAAAAAATATAGTAAGAACTGTTTAAATCCTGTAGTTTGAAAAATTTTAATTACGTAAATAAAAAATAAGCCCCTCCATAGGAATGTATTTTTACATTTAAAACACTATTCATTTTATGTGAAAAGGAGTTTCTAAAAAGATGTTAGTACTATTCAATTTTATTGTAGCACTTAACTGAAGTGTTTAAAATAGTTTCATATTTCTAAAACTAGTTTAGTTAAAATACTTACTTAGAAATGTATTTAGCCAACTGTCAAAAGTGCAAATCATTTTAACAGAAAAAATATACTATGTTTTAAAGTCTATTATTACCTTTAATTCATGATAATCTATTGCTTCATCTTTGTCCGTATCAAATAGTTCAAAAGCATCTTTAATTTCTTGTTTCTGTTCTTCAGAGAGCTCTCTTCTTTTTTTCCTCTTTGTTTTGTCTACAAGTTCACTTCTATAAAATGAAAACAGTCTATTTAGTCCACTTAATTCCTAATCTCCTATGCCTTGAGAGTCTAGATGATTAAAATAAGATTTCAAAAATGTAACCATAAATCTTAGCCAGTGAATAACTTTCTAAATTTCTTAAAAGGACACATTTTGAGGAAAAAAATTTCCTTAAATGAGTAAAAGCCCTACTTATTGCAGAGTTGAAGCTGCTATAAATTTGCACTTCCCAAAACTGAGAAATGTTACAGGTTATTAAAAAAAAAAAAAAAAGGCCAAAACTGGTTTGGCTTGGTGGATACGGCATCGGCCTGCGGACTGAAGGGTCCTGAGTTCGGTTCCAGTCAAGGGCATGTGCCTGGGTTGCGGGCACATCCCAGTGGGAGGTGTGCAGGAGGCAGCTGATCGATGTTTCTCTCTCATCGATGTTTCTAACTATCTCTCTCCCTTCCTCTCTGTAAAAAATCAATAAATGTATTTAAAAAAAAATGAGGACCTAGCTTTGAATTTATTCCCACTAATATTACTGTGGAAGAAGAACTGTGAATAAAAAACATTACTTCATGTCAGAAACCCCAACAAAAAACAAAGCATCCATACTTATTCACATCTACAAAACATTTTTTAAAAAGAAAATTAAATTTGTAATTGACTCTCACTATGTATCTGATTTACTTTTGACAGTGTTTTATAAATGATATCAAAATTACTACCAAAAAGACCTAGTTTTTTAATTAACTTACAAAGTACATTCGCATTGTAGATTAAAAATGTTTTCAGATTACATATTTCCAACAGGGTGGCACTTCATAATTTCTTTGGTCGGTATTAACAAATCAGCCAAAATACTGAGTCCAAACAGGTCACGATTACCAAACGCCTAAAAAGTATCTATTTGTGCCAATTCTATATAATGTGAAGTCAATGGTCTTATAAATCTCAACATTTAAATTTACATTTAATTTCTCACAAACTCTGGGGGAAAAAATTTCTTAAGGAAATTTATTTTAAAGGCTAGAAATGTTTTCCTTAAGAGATGTTGACCCAAATGTTCCAAATGGGACATCAACACTTGTATAAATGTTGGAACAGAATATTGTATAAAACCTTAAAATGTACAACCCAGTTGATTTTACTACAACAGGCTACCTATTTGCATTTGAAGTTTTGTCCTCTAAAAATCTACCCCCAAAAAAGACGGGGGCCGGAGGGGGGGGGCAGGCGGTAAGAGACGCTAGAAGGTGACCGGGTAAAGCTGCCACCCTGCCTTCACCAGAGGCTGCGCCGAAGCCTGTCCATCCCGCGGTCAGTCCTGTCCTTCCCTTCCCACGGCTCCCAATGGCCCGGTCCAGAACCGACCTAACGGACCCCATCCAAGGCACCACATTACCCGTGAGCAGAACACAGCACCTCTTCCAAAGTGGGGTGACTACATCGTTATTTTTAAAGTAACATATCTAGATGAGCCTGGGAGCGGGCAGCACCTCTTCCAAAGTGGGGTGACTACATCGTTATTTTTAAAGTAACATCCAGATGAGGCTGGGGGACAGGGCAACCGAGGATTAGAGGTCCAACTCAATGTGGGGTAAAGAAACTCAAGAAATTTAGGTGATGCGGGTCTCCAGGCATACGGTCCAGCAGGACCCCAAGTGCGCGGCAAGGGGGAGTTCTGTGTTATTTCCAAAATTTACAGTAGCTACGTCATGAGCAGCGCGGCTGCGGTAGGGGCCGGAAACCAGGAAGGAGGAACTGAATCCAGGGATGCTCCACGGCCCGATTTCCCGCGGAAACAACGCGGGAGAAACCTCGCGCGACTTGGCCGAGCTCCGTGCAAAGAATACGGCCCATCCTTTCGGCGGCTCCAAGCACCACGCGTGGACAGGTATGACTACCTCCGCACAAAGGCACGGGGCGCGGCACCTGCGGCCCCCGGGGTGAGGGGTCCGGCCCGGAGGGTGGGCCGAGGTTCCTTTTCCTCGACCCAAATGCATCCCTTCCTCGCCTCGGCCCCCAACGGCCTCCCTTCCACACCCGCCCTGGGGCCCGCTGCCGGGGTGTGGAGAGCATCGCCGCCGCCTCGTTACCGACCTCAGAGCTAAACTCATTTTCTCTCCGGACACAGACGTTCCTCTCAAGAACGACTTTAACCCCTACTCAAGGTAGCACGACTCCCACCAGCCGCTCAACAGACACCCACAATCTCAGCGGCCTCGAGGACCGCCCCCGAGACGGCCACTTCTGGGCTAAGATTGGTTGACATCGCGACTGTCCCGCCGCTGTGGCGGAAGCGTCTCCAGGCTGCTTCTCTCATTGGGCGTACTTCGCGTCGATCAAAGAAACCTCTCTGCCGGTACATTGGTCCGCAGTGTTTTCCCCGAATCCTTTGCGGAGCAGGAATCTGCGTCCTCGCGTGTCGATGGGGCGGGGGGCGGATCTCGCCTCGCGGAAGGAAGCTCGGGCCTGTGGGCGAGTGTGAGGAGGCCGGGCCCACGCGCAGGGCGAAGGGCAGGGCGGCTGAGGAAAGAGCCTGCGGAATTTACTTCCACCTTCCAGACCGGCCCAGTGACTGAGGCAGGTGCGGGGTTGTATGTATTTGGATAATCACTGGTTGCATTATTAGCCTATTAGTGAAGCTGGACCCAACCCGTCCTTCTCGCCTCTCCTCCTCGGAAGGGATTTGTTCGCTCTGGTCCTCTGTGTTCCAGTGCTGTCAGCTGCTTGTACGCATGATGTGCCGGGGGCCTCGCCCCCCATCCATCTTCCAGGCCTCCACTACCCAGCCAAGTTTGTGGTGCTCCCTTGGTATTTAATGTGTCTACTTGTTTACCTCTCCTACCAGACAATAAGGCTGGCGTCCTTAAAAGCAGAGGTAAAGATTGACAGATTTTACCGAATGAAAAAGACATTTCTGTGTGGCAAAGACTACATTAAGCGAAGTAAACAAGCACACAAATTAAAAGCATGGGATTGGAGATAATTATGTTAAATGATGAGAGGATCTTCTATTTGTGATGGATAACTGTCTCTTCACATACTTCCAAACACCACACAAATGACTTTCTGGTCCCAAGAGAGAAAATGTAACTTTACCAGTATATTCTGATGGTATAAATTAGCGTTGCTAGTTAGGGAATTACCAGAGATTATCTGTCTGCTGATGTAATTCAGTATGAAGTACACAACCTACATCATTTAACCAAGAATGTGTAACTTGAACTTAATTAAACAATAATACCTAATTTGCCTTTTATAGGAAATGTAGGAGATAAAGAAAACATTTAAAAAAAAAAAAAAAAGACACCACAAGGAAACAATCACACAAATGCAGAAAGTAACACATTCTATAGGAGATAATTGTCCATTCTCTACGATAAGTCAGTGCATGAATAAAGAGACTGGACCAGATTAAAAAGGACTTAAAAGATGGTACAGCCAGATAGATGCCTATGACTTAGGAGATAAAGAAACCACTTAAAAACAAAAACAAAAAAAAAAACAAAAACAAAAACACCACAAGGCCCCCATGTCCATTCCTGGGCCTAGACCTCAAACCCAGAATCCAATCATCTATTGAGGTCCCAGACCTGCTTCCAAGGCCCAGAAATCCCTGTGAGGTCCAGACCTCCATCCCAGGACGCAGACCAACATCCGGGTCCCAGAATTTCATGACAAGGCCCAGATATCCACTCTGGAGCCCAAGCCTCAAACCCAGAATCCAGTCCTCTATGGGGGCCTAGCCCTCCATCCATTGCCCAGACCTCCATTCCATGACCAAGAGATCCAGCCTATGACCCAGATGTCCAGCCTGCGACCCAGACCTCCAAGCAGAACCCAGATGTCCATGTCACGACCCAACACACCATCCGGGACTCAGCCTTCCATCCCTGGCCCAGATCTCCATCCAGAGCTTAGACCAGCCGTGGGCAAACTACAGCCCGCGGGCCGGATCCGGCCCATTTGAAATGAATAAAACTATTGAAAAAAAACACGGTACCCTTTTATGTAATGATGTTTACTTTGAATTTATATTAGTTCACACAAACACTCCATCCATGCTTTTGTTCCGGCCCTCCGGTCCAGTTTAAGAACCCATTGTGGCCCTCGAGTCAAAAAGGTTGCCCACCTCTGGCTTAGACCTTCATGCCAGGGGCCAAAACTCGGTCCAGGGACCCCAACCGCAAACCCAAAATCCAGTCCTGTATCGTATGCCCAGATCTACATCCAGGGCCCGTACCTCCTTCATAGGCTCAAGCCTACATCTGGGTCTGAGACTTTCAGGCCAAGCCGAGAAGTCCATCCTGGAGTTCAAACCACCAACTCAGAATCCAGTCCTGTATCAGAGGCCCAGACCTCCATCCGAGGTTCTGACCAACATCCAGGTTCCAGACATTCATGCCAAGGCCCATTTGTCCATTCTGGGGCCAAGAATTCAAACGGAGAATCCAGTCCTGTATCAGGGGCCTAGACCTCCATCCATGGTCCAGACCCATTCAATGACACAGAGGCCCAGCATACGAACCAGACCTCCACCTGGGGCCCAGATGTCCAACCCACAACCGAGCCCTCTCTCTGAGACACAACCTTCCATTCAAGGCACAGACATGCATGCCAGGACCCAGATCTCCATTAGGGGCCTAGACCTTCATGCCAGGGCCCAGAACTTGATCCAGGGACCCTATCCTCAAATCCAGAATCCAATCCTGTATCGGGTGCCCAGACTTCCATCCAGGGCTCTGACCTACATCCGGGTCCCAGACATTCATGCCAAAACCCAGATGTCCATTCAGGGGGCCCAGGCCTCTAACCCACAAACCAGTCCTATACCAGGGGCCCAGACCTCCATCCGGGGTTCTGACATCCGGGTCCCAGACATTCATGCCAAGGCCCAGATGTCCATTCTGGATCCCAGATTTCAAACCCATAATCCAGTCCTATATCGGGTGCCTAAACTTCCATCCGGGACCCATTCCTCCATCAGTGGCTCAGGCCAACAACCAGGTACCAGACCTTGAGGCTGGTCCAGAAGTCCATACCAGGGTTCAGCCCTCAAACCCAAAATCCAGTCCTGTATCAGGGGTCCCACACCTCCATCCGGGGCCCATACCTCCATCAGGTGTTCAGACCTACATCCTGGTCCCAGACATTAATGCCAAAGGCCCAGATTTCCATTCCAGGGCCAAAATATCGAACACAGAATCCACTTCTGTATCATGGGCCAGCCCTCCATCCATGACCCAGACTTTCATTCCATGACCCAGAGGTCCAGCCTATGACCCTGATGTTCAGTCTATGACCCAGACTCCACCCAGGGTCAGATGTCCATCCCGCGACCCAACCCTCCCTCCGGGACACAGCCTTCCATCGCCGGCCCAGACCTCCATCCCAGGGCCCAGAACTCCACCCAGGACCTAGACCTTCAGCCAGTGCCCAAAACTCGATATGGGTACCCTATCCTCAAACCCAGAATCCAGTCCTGTATCAGGTGCCCCTCAGGCCTACATCCGGGTCCCAGACATTCAGACCATGCCAAGAAGAACATCCCGAGGCTCAGACATGGAACCCAGAATCCAGTCCTGTATCAGGGGCCTGGACCTCCATCCAGGGCTCTGATCAACTTGCGGGTCCCAGACATTCAGACCAGGCCAAGAAGTCCATCCTGCAGCTCAGACCTTGAAGCCAAAATCCAGTCCTGTATCAAGTACCCAGTCCTCTATCCAGGGGCCATACCTCCATCCTGGGCTCTGACCAACTTCTGGGCCCCAGACTTTAACCAAGTCGCCAGAAGTCCATCCTGCAGATCACATTTCGAACACAGAATCCAGAACTGCATCGGTTGCCCAGACCTCTATTCGGAGCCCATTCCTCCATCCAGGGCTCGGACCTACATCCGGATCTCAGACTTTCAGACCAGGCCAAGAACTACATCCCAGGGCTGAGACCTTGAAACCAGAATCCAGTCCTGTATCAGGGGTTGGGGACATCCATCGGGAACTCTCACAAACATCCGGGTCTCAAACATTCATGCCAAAGACCAGATGTCCATTCAGGGGCCCACACCTCAAACCCAGAATCCAGTCCTGTATCAGGAGCCCAGACCTCCATTCGGGATCCAATCCTCCATCCAGGGCTTAACCTACAACCGGGTCCCAGACTTTCTGCCCGGGCCAAGAAGTACATCCGGAGGCTCAGACATGGAACCCAGAATCCAGTCCTGTGTCAGGAGCCCGGACCTGCATCGGGTTCTGACCAACTACAGAGTCCCAGACTTTCAGCAAGGCGCCAGAAGTCCATCCTGCAGCTCACACCTCGAACCCAGAATCCAGTCCTGTGTCAGGAGCCCGGACCTGCATCGGGTTCTGACCAACTACAGAGTCCCAGACTTCCAGCAAGGCGCCAGAAGTCCATCCTGCAGCTCACACCTCGAACCCAGAATCCAGTCCTTTAACGGGTGCCCAGACCTCTGTCTGGGACCCACACCTCCATCAGGTGCTCAGGCCTACATCCGGGTCCCAGAAATTCAGACCGCGCCAAGAAGTACATCCTGAGGCTCAGACATGGAACCCAGAATCCAGTCCTGTATCAGGGGCCCAGACATCCATCCGGGGTTCTGACCAATATCCATGTCCCAGACATTCATGCCAAGGACTAGATATCCATTCCGGGGTCCAGACCGTGGACCCATAATTCAGCCCTTTATCAGGTGCCCAGACCTCCAACAGGGACCCATTCCCCCATCAGTTGTTCACACCTACATCCGGGTCCCAGACCTTCAGCCTTGCGCCAGAAGTCCATCCTGGAGCACAGACCTCAAACCCAAAATCTGGGACTGTATCAGTGGCCAGGACCTCCATCCAGGGTTCTGACAAACTTCAAAGTCCCAGACTTTCAGCAAGTCACCAGAAGTCATTCCCGCAGCTCAGACCTCGAAGCCAGAATCCAGTCCTGTATCATGTACCCAGACCTCTATCCCGGGTCCATACCTCCAACCGGGGCTCTGACCTACATCCGGGTCCCAGACCTTCAGGCTGGGCAAAGAAGTACATCCCAGGGCTGAGACCTTGGGCAAACAGAAGGCAGGAGAGTATTCAAACTGCAATCCAGTTCTGATACCTAGGAAGGGAGAGCAGGAAGGAAAGAGGACTGGGTAGGAAAAGCTCAGAGTGGAATGCATGCAATTGAGAGAAAATCTTAGACCAAGGAGGATCCCCAGAATAAAAATTGCC